TAGGTATTGATATTGCGGATGATGAATGAAATATTACTCTAATGTAGGTTTTATAAAATTGATTAAGGATTTAAAACAATTACCTTTAATGTGATGAAAAACTATGATGTATATCTATCAATCGTGTTGGGAAGGCATCCTAATTGGATGCGATAAACTTCAACTCTACTTCCCCGGTAAATTAATCCAACATATTGAATAAGTTGGCCTTTTCGACCCGCTAATTCTTATCAACTGATTCATGAATCTAACTTCTCCACAGGTGAGAAAAAATTTGTCGGTAGAGAGGAAAGACGTCAAGATTTCCAAAGATTGGATAGACAACAGCTGGGTGAACATCGAATCAGTGCCTGACATTCTAGCCTTCTTGACATCAGCGATGAACCCTGCGCAGCTGCTGGAGCTCCTGACCGCACCCCAATCTCCGTCACAACTTCTCGATAATGCTTTAGATGAGGTACCTTTGACGCCCTTATAACTCCCAAAAAGCCCCTTCTTTCATCTATTACTCTATCATGAATATACATACGTATTTTGTAATCAGGTTTGCAATGGGGCGACATACGTGAGCATCAATGTGCTTGAGAACAGTACTAATAGCAAAATGGCGGCAGTTGAAGGTGTGTGTATATATGATGTATATGTGTCTAAATTTTATGTCTGCATAGTAGCTTGATGTGAGGATTGTTAGGGGGGATAGTGTATTTTTTCTTGGGGAGTTTCGGGATTGCATACTAAGAATTTGAAAAAAAATTTGCTTGATGAACAGAGAATATGTTTTGGTAAAAATTTTGTATGTCTTGAGTAGAACCTTAGAGTAGTCTTAATGATTTTGTTCCTTATTATGTTTGATCTAGTTGTGTAACAATACACAATTTAAGTTTCTCCGTAGCACTTGTGGCTCTAATTCGATCTTATTTTGCTTATATACGTAGATAATGGTTGTGGAATGACTCCCGATAAGATGCGCCAATGCATGTCTCTCGGCTATTCGGCAAAGAGCAAGATGGCAAACACAATCGGGCAATGTAGGGCCTGTGATTTATTTATTGCCGTAAACTGTGCTTTTGTATATGTGTTATTCTTGGATATTGTTACTAATTTGTCTTTATGTGTTTGCACCAGATGGTAATGGGGTTTTCCGATGCAGAGCACAACAATTACGCAAGAGGGCATATATATTGATCTTCGGATTGATCAACACATGCAAGTTAAAGGTAATTTGCTATTAATGACATATTTGAATTGTCTCTAAATTCAAATATATTCCCCTGAGAAAAATGATTCATGTGCTCTTTGTACAAATTGGACATCCTAAATATTTTATTTACTTTCGCGTGTGTTGATCAAGCACAATGGCACAAGATGAATATTGGATTTGTTTATTATTTTAACATCTTATGTTGCTGATGAGACTTATTTATAATATTCATTTTGCTTCTAGAATCTGCTGATGTGGTCGATCCTCCCCAACCTGACTCTAATATGCAATTCCTCGTGTGGAGAATACTGAGAAAAAAGAAAATAACCATGTAATAAATCATAGGCCAGAAAGTCACCATAGGGATATAGTGGTGGAGGCAGAACCTCATTTAAGTGAAAACCATGGAGCAGCAACAGAAGAAGAATTAGCCCCCACAACAATCACATGCATCAATTCCTAGTTCACCAACGAAGAAAGGACGCACCAAAATGTATGTTTCTATCGGCATGGCAAGAGTACTTGCGACAAAGACCGAGATGGAGAGTGCAGTTTTCCTAGCTAATCAAATCATAAGATCAGCATATTCTCCATTCATCTTAGTGAACATTTGTCGGCTTTAATTTGGGGATGAATACATCTGTATATAGTTGAGTCAACTCTTTCTTGATATGAATATACCTTTTATTACTTTCTTATTAATTGGTTTTTATGTTTACACTGTGTATTTAGATTTTATGTAATTATTAGATGGTTGTAGCAAAATGTTTTAATATGTTTGAGTGTATTATTCTGATAAAATTATTAAGAACATATTTTTTTTTAAATTTAAATTTTGATTTAAATATTATTTGATATTATTGTGAAAGTAACTATATTTCATTATTATGAAGAAGTGCAGAGTGAATCACAGCTTCTTTGTTTTTTAAATAAAAAACAAACACAAATAAAAGATATTAACTATAAATAATTGAAGTATATATATAATGAATATGAAAGTATTTATAAAATTAACAATACACAAAATAGTAATTAAAATATATATATATATAATGTGTTTATAAATATATAGGAAATAAATATATTAAATTGTAAGAGAGTAACTGTTTTAGATTATATAAAAAAATGAATATACGGAAGAGTACCTTTGTTTTCAGTGTTGAATTTAGGTTTAGAGTTTAGGATAAGTAAATATTTTGATTTAAATAACTTTTTTGTTTCATTAGATATCTCGTGCATAGAAAACCCTCTGTCAATCTGTAAATTTGCATCTTGTCTCAGCAAAGCCCACCTTGTTGTATTCATGCACATAATTGGCTGTAAAAACAAAATAGAACACCACAATATGAATTAATTCAACAGGATCAAGATCACCTTTCTAGAACTGATATATGAACTAGCAGCAATTCTCATACACTTGAACATTATCATTACAATTGAAGGACAAATTCGAAGTATCCAGAGGCGTGGAGTGGAGTTTAGTTTGCCTTAAAGGAGACATGAAAATTCATACAAACCTCAGTATATTTGTACTGTTGTTCAATGTCTTTTATTACATTTCCACATTCTAAGCACTTGAATTTGTAGAACGAGATGTTGATATCATTGTTCGGACATTCATCGGTTATGAAAGCAAGCTTGAGCTCCATCACAAATCTTTTGCATTAGGTAAGGCTTGAATCGAACAAATTCCTCCGAAATGGCATTCAGATGCAAAAAGCACACATTATCATCACACAATTTTTAGTGTCTACAAAATAACGAAATTTCAAACAAAAATGCAGTCGAGGACATAAATCAAACTTCAGACACAACCAAATCAACAGAAAACACAAATTATCATCTCACAGTTTGTGTCTACAGAAAAAAATATATTTCAAACAAAAAATGCATTCAAAAACACAAAGTAGGCTTCGGAAAAAAAAAAAAAAAAAAGGAAACAATAAAAGATGAATTCTCCTACCACACATACTATGTTCCTCTTCAAAGGCAACGCCGCCTTCCCTTTCTTAGGCTTAAGAGGAACCGCAACCGCGACGCCGCCACCTTCCTCCTGCTCGGCTTCCCCTTCCGCTACCTTCGCCTAAGCTGCTAAAGCAGAGCCCACAACTGATTTTGGCGAGCTGCCATTCCCCGATGAGTGGAGAAGAAATGGATTAAGCGAGACAGTTTTAGGGCAAGAGAAGACAACAAGATTCACCCTGGCAAACACCATCACCTCTTCTTTTTATTTTTGAAAAATAATATTAGAACAGTGGCTCTTATTTACTTTTAATTAGCGGCACGAACACCGAAACCCCCCTCTTTTTTTTTAATGCATTTTAAAAAAATAAATTTACAATAGTGGCACCAACAATAGCATTTCTTATTTATTATTAAAAAATAATTTATAGTGATGGTGCTGACGTCTCTTTTTTTCTAAAAAGTAAATATTTCATTAAAAATAAAATAACAATAAACACATAAAATCGCATATACATAGAGTAATAATATTATTTTATATAGAAATAATACGGTATTATATGTCTGTTACCAATGGTGCCCGCGCCACGTTGTGCCACCCAAATGCAACTTTTTTGGGTAGTGTATATTATACTTGTAGTGTGTATTTAAATTTTTTATATTATTTTTATTTGTATAATATATAAAATAAACATAAAAAATATCTATACAAATAAAAATATTGTTGAGATTTAGCTTATTATTAAACCCAACCCGCAATCCAAACCCTTTAATCTGGTCCGGTTCTAAAGCCTTTGACCCAAACAGCACCTTATATATCCCCTTCTTTTCTCTTTCCGGTAAGTTAGTCCGCAAACAGAAATCGTTCGATTAAGTTTTTTTCTCTAGTTCTTCTTCTTCTTTGCGATTCTTCTAGGTGAGTTTTGGGGGTTTTCTTTCTTCGCCAAAATTGCATGCATTCTCGTTCAATCCCTTCTGCTAAGTTGTTTCTTTGCATGTTCTTTATGAGTTCTTGGGGAAATCGGTCGAGTGTTAGGGTTCTAGATCAAGTCCGTAGGTTTGGGATTTTGTTAGGAGGTGGTCAAGTTAGTCCTTAAGTGAGTAATTAGGTTGTAGTCTGAGCCGTCAAATATTTTCCCAAGTCGTTTTTGTCGAGTCACTTGGGAATCACCGGAGGAAGTTGCCGGAGTTGTTGGAGGATTCCTCGCCATTGTGCTTCCGCTACCATTAGTCGATGGAGGAGGGAGCCGTCGCCTAGTCACTGCCGCTGTCCAGAGTTAAAAGAAATAGGGAAGTGTTTTTGTTTTCAATCTTGTTTTCTTGCTAACCAATATATTGTGTTATGTGAGTAAAATACCAAATTCAATCAGTAAGTGTTTGTATATTGTTTTTGTTTGGAACACATTTTAGTTGATGCTTATTTGTTAGTTGACAAATTAGAATAAAAATACAACAAATATAAAAACAAACTTACTAATGTAATTAAAAAAAATACATATAGAAATCTATTTATAAATATATAGGAAATAAATTTAGTAAATTGTAAAACATTAACTAAGTTAGATAAAAAATTATATATATCCAACATTACAGAACCATTTTGCTAGTACCATCCAAATTTTTTTTACGTACATGGATATTGATAGAACATAAAGTCTAAAAATTGAAAAATTAAAGAAATATAGAAAAATAATCTTAAAAAAAATAATTTAAAATACATAAAAAAATATATTTATAAATATATATTTAGAAATAAATATAGTAAAAGTAAGGTTAGATAATAAAAGAAAAGAAGACTCCAGAAGATGTGGCCGGGGTTTACCCAGTCCAAAAGAAATTTAAAATAAAAATAATAAAATAAAAATTACACGTTCTAGAACCATCGGTCCTACGCTATAAAAAATGTGTGAATTGATGGGGGCGAACAAGCGTCAGGGTGATACTCTATCCTGGGGTTAGGGTTGTTTTAAGCCTTGTTTTTTTTTTTTTTCCGATTCAGCTCTCAATTCTTTGCTGTTTTAAAAAATTATTGAGGTTTCTCATCTTTAGTTGAATTGTTTGTAGAGATCTTGATTTGTTTGATTGTTTGTTTTGATTTTTTCAGTTGAAGCGATGAGTAGAGGGAGGGAGGCGGCATGAGATCAACAATTTGATGAAGAAGGAGACTGAGAGGATTCGGGCGACCATATTTCTTTCATTCATCTGAGTGGACAAATCCATGGTTTTGGGTAGGAGACATCTTTCTTGTTCGGATCTGTGTTGTTTGTTCCATAGCGTATATAAATTAGATCAACGTGAAATTTAATTGGCTGATGGTGACAGATTTAGAAGGCCTAACAATTTTGTAAGCCCTAAGGGTGACGCATTTTTCTCGGACCCCAAGTATTGCCTTGAGGAAACAACGCCACGAAGTTGTTTGGATTGATGCACTGGAAGTTGTAATTTTGTTGGATCATGTTCATTGTTTGCACTTAATTCAATAGGGTTTTGATTTTTCATAGTCAACTTACTGATTATTTTGTTTGTCCAAAGCATACTCCTTACGCAAAGGGGACATATTTGGATTTGAATTATTTTTAACCTCAAGTATATACCCGTTACGCAAAGGGGACATATTTGGATTTGAATTATTTTTAACCTCAAGTATGTCTGTCTTTTCTTCGTATGTTAAGAATTATCTGATCTCTTTCAATTTTCTTAGTTAATTGTTTTGTATATTATGCTTATATTGTGTATTTAGATTTTATGTAGTTACGGGTGGATTTTCGCAAGTGCTTTTGTCTGGATATGTATAAGTAGAAAGGCTTTGGTTAAATGTGTTATGTATGTTTGGTTGTGTGGTTTGGTCCGCCAATAGTACTCAATCCTATGTTTCTTATAAATTATTGAATCTCAATAATTTCACAAATCCTAATATATACTGAGTTTCTGCGTGTACATTATAATTGGCTGTTTGATTTCGGATAACGGGTTGGGAAGACGCCAAACTGGCCTCACCCCAAATTAAATGTCTCTTCCGTAGGAAGGTACATATAGATAGGCAATATTACAACAATTTGGTTTTGTGTTGATGGATGGGGACTACAGATAAAAGGGTATTAATATTGAAAAAACTAAAGAACAAATACACCGGGCACACCTGGGATGATCACAACAACTTTTCTATGAACCAAAAGGTGAAAACCTCAATTAGCGGAATAGACTAATTGTTTTGTTTGATCAAAGCGGTAAACAAATTAAATATGTATATACAAACATGCCCAAAAATGAGGCCGTCAAACGGGTGGCTATGAGCAGCAGCATGAAACTTAAAGTTTCCTGCTTGGTTCCTACAATTCAATAGGTAGATGCTGCGAGAGCGGCTCCCATTGTGCACAAGGATATGCTAGTGTTGCCTCCAAACCGTAAGGCGTTCTAAATTTGATGTACCAGTTAAGGGGTACAAAATTTGATAACAGTCACAGAAATAGTTGCATCCAAAGTGAAATTTTCCAATGCTGCTTTGTTCGAAGTGTCCAAATCGCTGCAAGCCAATTCATCACGTGATTTGCAAACCTGGGTCCCTGCAACCGATTCTCTTTATCCTGTCTGTTGTTTCCTCGATTGCGTCCAGCTCCCTTGGTGCCTAAAGCCATCAGTCTGACACTATAAAAGTCTATGAATTGAAGAGGCGAACAAATATTAAAACCAGTGATTATTTATATTTTTATCTATATATATATTTATTTATTTCAAAGAGAAACAGTAAAACAGATTTTTCATTTCCCAAAAATCTTTGATTTAAAATCTCTAATTACTCTCTTCTTTTTTCTCTTTTTCTTTTTATATATATATATTCCCTTTGGTGCACCAGGGTATATAAGAAGGAAAAAAAAAAACAAAATTAATGCGTTTGGAACTTGAAAAAATTTAACATAATTGTATAAATTTTATTATTTATTAGTAAAAAATATTGAATATTCAAGGACAAATTAAAAATATATATATAATTTTATTTTTTTCACGTAAATATAAACTAAAAAATAAAATTAGGGGGGAATATTAAGTCCATGTCTGTGTATTATTGTTACTCTCCGCTACTTTTGAGTCAACTTCTTATTTAATTGGTTTATTGTACTTTTTTTTTTAGATTTTATGTAGTTATAGATCAACTTTTCCCATGTTAATTTTATGTGGATATTGGAAGAATATTTTAGTTATGTTTGAGTGTGTAATTTGATCAGTGCATAATACCGATCATGTGGCTGACAAAATTATCAAATTTTTTTTTTTTTTTTTTTATTTAAGTTTTGGTTTAAATACTATTTGATATAATATTTTTTAAAAGTAAATAATATATTTTCTAATTGTGAACTTGTGGGGCTGAATTGTAAATTTTTTATTTAAAATAAAAAAAAAACAAACAAAATATATTAATTAAAAAAAATGAAGTAATATATATATTTAAAATATATATAAAAAATATTTATAAAAATAAAAATATACAAAACAAACTTAATAAAGTAATTAAATGTATTTATAAATATATAGTAAATATATTAAATTGAAAAAGTTTAACTATTATAAATAATATAAAAAATTATAGAAAAGTCTAGAGTAAATTTAATAATTAAAAAATAAAAGTGATACATATCTACGACTTAGAATCATCCCTTTAATGCTATAAGAAAATCAGTGAACTGAATTGACAGGGAAAAAAGTGTGAGTGGGCTCTCGCCCAAAAAAAAAACTCCACTAGATTAGGATTATTGCATACTTTCTCCTACGATGGGGATATCGTCTTGTTCTTTTATTAGAGTTTATTTTGTGATTAGGGTTTTTTGAGGTTCGGATTTGAGTGCAGTATTGAGTTTGATTTTGAGCTTTTTCATTTCCAGCTTATTGCTAGTTTGATTTTTGTTTATTTATTTTGGTTGTTTCAGTTGGAGATATGAGAGATGATATGCGAAATGCAAAATGATTTTTGTCTGATTTTTGTTTATGTGTCCAGTTCTTTGCTATAATCTAGGTTATTTATGTGGCTGCATTATTTACTCTATCTTAATCAATTGTGTGGCATTAGTTTATATACGTGTATTACTTATTTGTAAGCAACTTGTAATTATAAACTGCATCTCAAACCTCAACCACAACTCTTTTGTAGTAGTTTTGTGAGCAATCTCCACACAAGAGTTTTTTTTACAACATCAGGTGATTTTGAGTTTTCTCATTTTGATTTGCTTGCAGGAATTTTTGTTTGTTTGCTTCAATTGGAGAGATGAGATGAGAAAGGAAATATGATATCGTGGCACCACAATCCGGAACAAAACGATAGTGCGAAGATCTGGATGAGGATTGAAAATCAATTACTAGAAGATGGACGAAATGGTTGCGAGATAGGTGCTGGTTTCGCTGACGAAGAATCAAAGAAAACTCTGAGGTATGTTTTGTAAAATTGATTAAGGATTTAAAAAGGATATATTGTTACTGTGAAGAAAAACTATGATGTATGTATCAATCGTGCAGTAGTCAATGGATCCCGTGCTTATCAAACTCCACCGTCAACGAGGAGACCTTTGCCAACTGTAGGGAAAAGTCAGACCTGAGACTTGAGGTAGGAGCAAGTGTGGATGCATGGTAGGAAGACGGTGGTGGGCATATATATTGATCTTTGGATTGATTGACACATGCATATTTGTTTCTAACTTCAAAGATATTCCCATGAGAAAAATGATAGATGTTGCAAATGAGACATCCTAAATATTTTATTTACTTTCGTGTGTGTTGATCAAGCACAATGGCACAAGTTGAAGGTTGGATTTGTTTTTTTTTTGAACATCTTATGCGGCTGATGAGACTTATACATAATCTTTATTTTGCCTCCATAGCCTGTTGTGGTAGTCGATCCTCCCCAACCCGAGTTTAATTTGCAACTTCTCAAGTAGAGGAAATTGTGAATACTAAGAAGAAAGAAAATAACCAAGTGACAAATGATAGGCCAGAAAGTCACCATAGGGATATAGTGGCAGACGCAGAACCTCATTTAAGTGAAAACCATAGCGCAACAGTAGAAAAAGAATCAGCCACCATAACATCTCATGAGGATACCCAAAAGAAATCATATGCATCAAATCTTAGTTCCCAACGAAGAAAGGACCCAGCAAAAGGTATGTTACTTCCAGCATGGCAAGAGTATCTGCTACAAACACTGAGATTGAGAGTGTAGTTTTCCTAGATAATAAAATCATAAGATCAACACACAAAATAAATCTCCTACCATCTTTCTTCTTCACATGCTCTCATATAGTCTCTTGTTGCTGCACAATTGCCCTTGTTTCGTGATTACGGTTTCATGTTCTAATCAATGTAGCAGATTTGAGTACTGTCAGGAAGAAGAGTAAGAGGATTTAACTAGGGATTGTGTATAAACTACTAAGGGAGGCAAGCATATTTCTTCATTAATTAGAGTGAACATATGTTGGCCTTGCGCATGGGTCATATCTTGTACTACTTTGATATTTAATTAGTCTATTATGTTTATAGTGTATATCTAGATTTTATGTATATGAGATTAACTTTGCAAGTGCTAATTTCGTATGGATACAAGAAGGCTGTAGCAAAATTTCTTAGTTATGTTTGAGTGTGTGATTTTATCGGTTTACAATACTTATCCCAATACAATTTATTATTTGTGTTTTAATTTAAATAGTAATTCGTATAATATTTTTTTAAAATAAATAATATATTTCTTTTTTCAAAGTTCGGACTACATCTTAAGCTTTTCATTTGAAATAAAAAACAAGCACAAATAAAATATATTAATTATAAAAAATTAAAATAATATATATAATGAATATAAAAATATTTATAGAAATACAAATATATAAAACAAACTAATAAAGTAATTAATAATATATAAAGAAATGTCTTTATAAATATATTGGAAATAAATATATTAAAATATAAGAGATTAACTATTTCAGATAATACAAAAAAATAACAAGAATCTAAAATAAATTTAAAATATAAATAAGAAATATATATATATCCAATATTCTAGAACCACTGTCTACAATTATAAAATTTTTTGAATTGACAAAGGCTAAAAACCTTGTATAGTAGGTATAAGCATTTCATATTTTTTATTTTTATTTTTATATTTGTTTTGTTTTTAGGAGACACCAAAAAACTCTATTTTCTGATTAGAGTTATTGTATTCTCTCATGTTGCACGGCTATTGCTATTGTTCAGTATTAGAAATTATTATGTGATTAGGGTTTTTATGAAGCTTTGGATTCGGGTGCAGTTAATTACTGTGTTGATTATGTATACTCTAAAAGTGCGGACATTCTTATTTCTACTACTGCAATTTATGTTTGAGCCAAATATAGAAAAAAGTTTGCAGTATATATTTTAATTATGTTAATTATTAATTAATTATTATTATAATTTCCAGTAAATTTGATCTATTTATTTATTTTTAATATAAAATTTATATAATAAAAAAATACATAGGAAAATTAATAATATCTATATTATTACTTGATTTAATAAATTAATATATTTTACGAATAAAATAAATATATATTGATATTTGTGTAAAAAAATAATTAATTTTTTAGAAAATTATAAATAAATAAAATTAGAG